CCCCCCCATTTCTTTTCGGCGTTTCCGTCTTGATTTCCTTTGAGAATCTTCGGCATAGTAGAAATCCTTCCATGTTTTCTTTGCGGAATGAAACTCATAAACAAGATTCTGCTTTCAGGCGCAGCCTCGTCCGCCACCGCCTCCCAACAACGGTCCTCCGCCACCGCCTCCCAACAACGGTCCTCCGCCACCACCTCCCAACAGCGGACCTCGCCCTCCACCTCCTCCTCCTCCTTTTTCCTATCCACCACCTCGTCCCACTACAACTCAAGGTCCCTACAGACCTCCTACGACTCCCTGCACTCTTTATCCATATCCTGGGAATCCTTCTTCTCCTTGCTACGTGGCTACAAACAGGGATATGCAAGTGAGTTTGAACCAACAATTAGTTTAAATCTTCACCTTTTGCTCACAAGCAACAGAATGGACCTCGACACATAGAGTTTTGTTTTTAGCTTGCTAGAATCTTCGGATTGAGAGATTTGAACAAGGTGTTGGTTGCCAATGAACATCGTGTCCTTTTCGAGCCCCTCCTTTCATCTTTCACCCCACCAAATTGTTTTCAGACGGCGATTGCAAACACCGCTTCAGTTACTTCGAATCTGGCCAGAGTTGGTAGAGACTATTCCAGCAATAATCTATTACGGTAGGTAATGTGCCTTCAAAATGTAAAGAAGCAAATAAGTAGTGGTAGAAGATTGCACTTTCAAACGTGCCACTCCGGTTTCCCGAATGGGAAGATTTCCTTCAGTTTTTGCCGAAACAATCGTTTAAAGTCTAGGTGAAATCCGCAAGACTTACCTTCTGAAAGATGAGGGATAAAAGAAAGTACCTCGGCCAATCTCTGTATGGGATACGCCATACATCCAGTTCCTACTCGGCAGCAGCTTTTGAACGGTAGTGGGGATGTAGGATGACTTCCGAAATTCAGCAATCGGTTTGATGCAAGTCATTACTCATAGATGGAGCTGGATAAGATAAGGGCTTTGAATGGATAGAAGGCATCGGTCCGAGTAGTATTCGAACCGGAGCTGGATCACAGCATTGTTTCGTTTCAGCGCCGCTTGCTAGTCTCCCACCTTAAAACTTCAAGGATAACTGTCGGAGTAGTAGTTAAGGAAAAGTGCAATGGATGTGAGGACAGTAGGAACAGCGTCAGTGAGAACCACTTATTTCAATATGATTTCAGGCAAATTTCCAATGCTCTACAATCAATCCAGTATCTGTACTACGACTACGTGACACTCATAATGCTCTCACCAGCCATAGCCCAAATGGAAGCAGCGGTATCTATCAGATTGCTATGTCGGAACTTTTGTCAAAAAGAATCAGTGCCTAACTTTAGCAGTAGCGGAAAGGATCACTGCCATGGTCCGTGAGATCGGACTCTGCCGATACTGCGCTTATAGTAAAGCGGTGATCAATCGTACCTTCCTGCGTTATTTGGCTTTCTCAAACAGCGCTATGAAAGTTTCCTAGCTATTTTTAACATATACAACGGCTACAGGATCTTCTAAATTTAGTTCCTATACCTTCGCTAAAAAGTCTGGCACGAATCCGAAGGCTTCGACGGATAAGAGGTTTTGATGGCTGGAGAGACAAGTGGGGAGGGATACGTACACTGTGGACTCGATTCCCGGACCATAAACACGGGTGGAACTATTTAGTAACACCTCACCTCACAGTAAATCCGGCGTTAGCCAATAAAGAGCCAAAAGAGATGATATGGAAGGCTCTAATAACCTAGACAAGGTTTGGATCAGAACAACATCTCGGGACCATGTTAGTGCAGACCTTTTCTTCCACTGCACCACCTTCGAAGAGTCACTATTATACAGGTAATCGAGTGATTGTTTCAGAGCACATCGGCATCGTACTACTGTAGACAGCAGCCTGTTTCGCCTGGTGCGCTGTCTAATCTGGGGCAGAATGTGAGTTTCTTTCATATCCTACGGTTTTCCTATTGGAGAGATACATCCAACTTGCTCAATGCGCTTGAAGCTCTAGTATTCGTTGATGAGCTCTTTGATGGAAATGGAAATGTCGTCATTCTTTTGAGAACACTGTTGAGAGTTAGTCTTGCTTATCATTATTTGCTTTCAGTTGGTCTTTTGGACGAATAACGGACGCAATCCAAGCCCACAACAAGTGCAGAATCTTTTCAACACCGCAAGCCAATTCCTTCAACAATATTGTTGATATATTGTTCTTGGAAGAATTATTCACCCGTTTGAATAAACAGAAGTCACCATCTCTTTCTTTCTACTTTCATTCTGAATAAGCAACTTGTAGTAGGTTAAAAATAGCAATCGGTCAAATACTGGCTGTTCTCGTGATCCTACAATATACAATTCGCTAAGTGTGTCTGTTGGTTGGTAGGTGTATTTGTGTTTGTGCGTGCGTGGGTGTCGGTATTTGTGTGCAACCGGAAATTTTTAACTCCTGTCCCCGTGACCTAGAGAATTCAAGCTTGGTAGGAGTACAGGGGGCAGGATGAAAATCTATGGTGAGCGGCAGAACCTCCGTTCACAAGGGGCGTGCGCGATAAAAATTTTGGGCCGCAAATTCATAACACCTGTTTACATGCACCTAGAGCGTTCAAAATTGGTAGGATTACACTTTTCGTATTAACAGTGGGACTCGGCATTTCAATAAATTGAAATAAGTGATATAGGATATGAAGGGATCTGGGCACTCGGTAACAGGAACGGATAATAACTGTTAAGAGAAGACTAAGAGAGGCCTCCTACCGATCAAAATCCTAACGTCTTCGGTATTTATAATACAATGCACTTCGACTGTTCAGTAAGTTTCATTGTATAAGACGGAATGCTAGAGTAGTGTGACAAATGTGAGTGGTAAGTGCAGTGATAGAGACCATTAGCGGCACTACGATAAGCAGATGAGAATTTTGTTCATTTCTTGCAATTAGATTACGACCGCTACCCAGGAGGGTTTGTGACTTAATGATGGATCCTCCGTGTTCGATATCATTTAGGACAAACCTAATCAACTGGCAGTAATCTGGAATACTCAACTAATGAAATCTCTGTGAACAAAAAGGTCCATTGTTAACGAGATCTGATAACGGTGTTATCATCACTCTAAACAATTTGAGCCTTCAATGGATATTTACTTCTATGAACGAGAGCAAAAGATCGAGTCTTCCAATCAAAGACGTAAGCACCGACTTACACTGAATACAATATGCACTGCCCTGTTAGTCCTGTGCCAGACTTCTAAACAGGAAAATATCATTTGTTCCAAAGGAGGTGACGGTCGAAAAAACTATACCACGCACGACCCGCCCACTGTGGGCGGAGTCTGATCCTGCTACACGTCATGAGCGTTTCCATCCAGTAGCCTGTACTCCTACCGGATTTGAACGCTTTAGGTATACGGTAACAGGAGGCATGAATTTCTGGTCAAATACACACACAAACAAATACAACGGCAAACCAACAGACACACTGAGTGAATTATATAGTAGGGTGTTTTTATTTCTTTCAACGTTGTTTTTTTTTAACCCAAACGGGTGAGTGGTAATTAGATTTGATCCAAAACAACTCTTCCACCTTCTATCACAAGACTTCACAGAATCCAATACTATTACCGAATCCGCTCTACCACAGACAAATAAATGGATTTATAATGGTGTAAGCTACTTGTGAGGTGATATGTTATAAAGATTCTTAATAAAGAGGAACTGCATCCCACTAATATAGTTTAAAACAAAGGTGTTTCAAACAGGCATTCCTGCATTCCAGTCAATCCTTTGCGACCTGTTCACAGTAACCTTCATTCACATCATTTTTATAGTCGGTAAAATGATCCATTTATCCCAGGATCGCCTCTTCCATTTGAGTAACTCGTATTTTGATAACTGAAGTCAACAAAAACCACTTTCATAAGTCAAAAATGCCATACACACGATCTCTGGCATTTTGTGTTGAGTTTGAAGTTGCATTCATTTTGCTCACGAATTCAAACATCCGCCATTGGGGTTTGATCACAAATCGAGGTGCAATATAGGGCTTACCCAGAGAGGATTAGTTGTTATTGAAAAGAATCGGCGTTTGTGTTTCATGGGATATTTTTTTGTTATGACATTTGAGTACTTTTATTTACGGGATAGTCCCTTCAAATATTTTGAATACGAATTGAATGAAAAGTGTATAAAAGGAGTCAACTCTTTGTTTTACCATCAATATGGAGATGCTCCTGGTGACGGTCTTCTGCTTGTTCTTCTCCGCCGTCCAGGTAACGTTATGATTCGATAGGTTGCAACAGATCACCCACTGGGGCATCTGTGCAATAATATCAGGTTGAGTCATAAGTCCTAGGACAAAATGTTAGTGATGACTTCTAGAGATCATAACTCGTGAAAGGGGAAACGAAAATGGACGCGCTTGACATTGAGATAGAGTATGAAAAGCTCTTCAAATGCATACTCATGAACACATCTGACTGTTCCCTTTCCTGCTACCATGCCCCATAATTTCAAGCCGTCGCAACTCCACCTCCGCAACACCATCCTATTTCTTTTTTAATCTAGCCAAGAACCCGAGGAGATTGATAGACATATTAAGGAAGTTTACAAGAAGGGTGCTCCTGCTAGATGCACAATTTACAAGTGGCACACGACGTTCACGTCGGATGACTATTACATAGAAGATGAAGACCGTTCGGGACGCACAATGGAGTTGGATTTGGCTGTGGAGCCAGGTGGAAGCCGATCCGTATCAAACTACTCGTGAACTGGCAGTCACTCTTGGGAAGTCAGTCCACTAATATTCGTGGATTGAAGTCAATCAGCAAGGTGCGAAAGCCTGGTCGATGGTGCATCAAGCTTTGAAGCAGTATGACATGGCCTGCCGCGCCGACATAGCACCTTCTCTATTCACGCTCAAGCCAGGAAACGGTATGTATATAGAAGAGTTTTTTATACCCTGATGGTATGTATATAGAAGAGCTTCTTATACTCTATCTAACGATGCATCGCTTGTTCATTTTCGTCACCTCTTTCCCGAGTTATGATCTCCAGAAGTCATCACTATCACATTGACTCATGACTCAACCTAATATAAGGACCAGTTAGATAGAGTCGCTTGGAAACAATTCTGGAGTATTAACAAATTCGCTAGTAAAATTGTTAAAATCACAATGCTACAGAAAACCCGTAAATATTGCTGAAAAGTTAATTTGCGTGAGGATTTCAAGAAGCGCTCTGAGCCCTCTATACATACGACCGCGACCCATATATGGCTGAACGTTCCTTATACATAAACCAAACACAATGGTAACATGGTTATTCGCAAAATATTACATTTTTCTATGGTAAACAAATGATCAAAAACGCCTTCATAATGACGACGTCACGGATAATTTAGTGTGTTTTCGTTTTCGTCTAGGTTTTGCCTGCTGATTTTCGGAATAGTGAAAACTGGTTACTTTTGTGTATTGTCTGCGAACTGAAATTTATGGGTAAAAAGCTTCTTTCAGGCTCAATCTTCTACCGAAAATCCACCATCGCCTCTCATAGACGACATTCGCGCTGCTTCTCCTCCGCCCACTACAACTCAAGGTCCTTTCAGGCCTCCTACGACTCCCTGCAGTCTTCAACAAACTTCTTCGGACTCTTCTTCTCCCTGCTATATAGCTACAAACAGGGATATGCAAGTGAGTCCAAGCTAACACTCCAATTGAGTCTTCACCTTTTACAAACAAGCAATGGAATGAGCTCAAGCATTAGCAATATAAGGTCTGAAACAACAGCACATAAGGTCGTTGGCTGATCCCTTCTTAGGGATGAGCTCCGCAATCAAAGTGCATTCAAAACTTCGTATTGAATGCGTGTGTGGCTCCTACAATGACTTGCAGTGGCCAGCCTATGTACAAGTTCTTTCATCCACCCAAACAAGTCTGGTACCAAATGGCCGATCACGGAGGGATTGAAGGTTTAGTTGGCCTAGTCGGCTCTGGATCCGAGATTCGAACCTGCGAAGCGTGTGTGATACCACGCCACTTGCCACTTCAGCCCGCCCATCGGCACTCGAAGCTTTCAAATTCTCTATTCTCTGGATTGAGGGGGAGTAGAACAAGGTGTTTGTTGCCAATAACATAGCATCCCCCTTGTGTCCCTCAATTGACCTCCAAAATTATTTTCAGACGACGATTGCAAACACTGTCTCAATCACTTCGACTCTGGCCAGAGTTGGTAGAGACTACTCAAGTGTCAACTTATTACGGTAGGTGATGTGCTACAAAATGTAGTGAAACCAGTTAATAGTGACAGAAGACAGCACTTCTGTATGCGTGCCATTTAAATGATTTCCTAGATGGAGAAGATTTCCCTAGTTCAATTTTGAAGTGTTGCAGTGATCAGCTGAATATTCCGCAACGTACATCTCTGAAAGGGTAAAGGGTGGAAGTAATTTCTTTGTCAGTCACTGTTTAGGATGTGCCATACATCCAGCTTCCAAACTTTTTTTGTCAATCTCTGTATAGAAGTGACGTACATCCAGCTTCTATTTTACTAGTTTTTGAGTGGTAGTGGGGGAGCAAAATGATTTGCAAAAATCGGCCATCAGATCGATGCAAGTCATTTCTCACAAATGGATCTGACTCAAACTCATCAGTGTCACGAAGTTAATAAAAAGTCACTCATATTAATATGATTTCAGGCAGATTTCTAGTGCTCTGCAATCAATCCAGTATCAGTACTACGATTACGTGACGCTTATAATGCTCTCACCAGCCATAGCCCAAATGAAAGCAGCGGTATCTATTGGTTTGCTAAGAAGAAAGATCTGTAGAAAAGATTTAGTGCTAAACTAGAGAAGAAGATTGAAGGAAACGTATCACTGCCGTGGTCCGTGAGATCGGCATCCGCCCAAATTGCGTTCATAAAAACGTGATTATTTTCGAAGTGAGGGTCATCGGCT